CCAGATTGTCATAGCAAAGTCAGAATGACCTCCTCTCCTAGGTTCAGGAAACGGTCGTCCATAAAATGCATTGCTGTTCTGTTGTAAGTAATCTTAAAGATTCCTAAATGCATCTACTTCTGGAAGGCCAAATAAAGTGCTTTTGCTTTCGCCTAGAAACACACAGCGTCTCCCTGACATGCTGCTTCAACACTAACTGCGGTTACTGAAACCACGCCTTCTTTCTTTGCGTGAACATTTGGGCGCATTATGCAAATATTTCCACATAGTGAGGTAGATATGTGGGGGCGTGTTAGAACGAGCCGTTTTAGGGGGGTGTGGCAGAGTCTTAACTTTGATAAAGAATATCTCTTTGGTTTTGAGACTTTAGTCTTTGCAACTTCAGGGATCTTATCTCTGCACAATCAGCTTGTAACACTCCAAAGAGAAAGGAAAACTTCAAATCGCATCATATGACCCCTTTAAATTTATAAAGTCGTGGCATTAAATGTTGAAAAAAATAAAATAAAGAATTATCCTCCTCAGTGTTTTTGCCTTGTTTTTAAATACAAATATCGAAACACCCTTAAATCAAGAAACGTTTACTTAAGAGGCAAACTGAACATATGAAGTTCATACACATCTTTTGTGAAAGGAATGAAAAAGTAATGGAGACTGTTTGAAGTGTTGCTAATACAACTCATTGAGTGATCCCTAGATATTTACATTTAGAGAACATTGACAGATTTTGCTCCCTGCAATGTACTCTTTAAATTTTTTTTACTTGGTCTCAAAAAGTCTTACATTTACCTTCATAAAACCTGTTTAAAAACTAATACAAACATTATTTTAATACATTTATTTGAAAAAAAAAATATATATATATTTTTAAAAATGCACAAATGAAAGCTTTAAGCATAAATCATAAAGTTTTCTTTCAGTTTTTCTTGTATCTCTCTCACATGACTTGCAGTGGTCAGATGATTCCACGCTGGCCTGAAACGTGGTGGGAATTTGATATAATTCCTCTTGAAATATTTCAGAGGATTTGTCTGTTGGACTTTTCATTTCCTGCCAGATTCTGCAAGACTTTCCTTTTTTTTGTGTACAACATTTTGTTGAAATATCAGCTGCATTAAGTGATGTTTTATGGCATTAATCAAATAAAGAAATTAAATTGGATATAAAGCAAATATAGTAACTTACATTTTCATGGTAAGGTTTGCTTAAAGAAAACATTGACTGAGATTAAACCAATCTGCTAGATCAGTCATTTTCTACAGATTAAGGTCCTGACTAACTCTTTATTTTTTCCTATAATGATTACATTATGCATGTTAGAAGTGCTAACATCAGTAAATCTTTGGGAAACACTCACTGGCCTGTTTGTGAAATAGCTGTGAGTGGATTTTGAGAATATTTATAAAATACTATCTCTGTCTCTCAGATTCCATAAATACATTTCTGCTCAGTCATAATTCCCTCTCAGGATTCAAAGAAGCTTTATTCACATGCTAAACAAATTTCTCTCTCTCGTTCTCTCTCAGATTGACCCTAAGGTGGCCTTCCCACGTAGAGCTCAGCCGAAGGTGAGTGCTAAGTCTCAGTTCAGGTTAACATCACGCAGGTTCTTTTCTGAAACCTAGTGAGCATTTTAAAGCATCATCTGTGTTTTCTCGATGTGACAGCAGAATTCCGAAGATCCTTCTTTGTGACTATATTGCGTAGAAGTCACTTGAAAACCTTTAGAACAATAAGTAAAAACAATAAGTTGCACTGGTCACAAACATTACCTCTAAAATGTTTATAATAGGGCTGTCAGTCGATTAAAAATTTTTTATCTAATTAATTACAGGGTGATGCGAAAAGCGAAAATACCCCCCAAAAATCCATTAAAGCTATTATTGTGTTAAATGTTTAGGCTACAACGGCCTAAAATAAAGTATGGAACATAAAAGAAGATAATTTGAGAAACATCTCAGTATTTTTTGTTCATTGCTAAACACCGCTGTGCTGCTCGGAGACACGCAACAGTTCTGCTGTGGCTTTATAGGTAATATTTCATCGTCAAAATTGAACAAAACACACAATATTGTGTTTAGAACATAACACAATATTAACTTCTTATTTACTGAACTGTTGTATCAAATCACATCTGCACTCACAAAAGCGGCACTCGTGTGATATCGCTTATCATATAAATATGAGACAAAAAGAAGTGAGAGATATGAGACATACAGGGGCACCCCCCCCCCCCAA